ACTGAACCAGAGAATTGGGTTCTTTGACAAGAATTCCCCTTGCCAAAGAGCCAACAAGAAAAATATGAACTAAAGCAGAGAATTGGGTTCTTTGACAAGAATTCCTCTTGCCAAAGAGCCAACAGAAAAAAAAATTAACTAAACCACAGAAATATGGTTCATTTTGGGTGTAGCCCCTAGGGGGCTTTGTCTGCCCCTTTAATGAAGGCCCTGCAATAAATATAACTGCTTTTTATTCCCTTCATTTTGTCTGGTTTTAGGTAGGTTTTAGGTAGTCCCAAAAGGCAACAGGTGGCTGGGCAGGGTCTGCTCCCTGTGAACCCCATCAGGTTCTTTCCTCTAACAAGCACAACCTCAGCTCCCTTTGGAGCAAAGTGGAAAACCATCAGTTTAAAAGTGAAATACTGAGGTCAAAGGAAGATTGAGGTCATCTGATGTTACTGAAATCAAAATGAAAGTACTATTTTTAAAGTTGGACCAAAAAAAATAGCCTGAACATTGAAACTTATTGCCTTGTATGGGGTTTCACTAATCCATGAAATTATACCTGTCACAGTAACTTAGTTTTTATTAAAACTGAGTTTTGCTTTGTGTTGAACTGTTAAATTGCACAAAAGCAATGCATCTCAAGTTAATTAATACTTTGACCCTTTCCTTTGTGAGATTAGTTTAATATTTTTGGATTAATTAAAGTATGCAAATAGAAACTGCTGAAAGATCACTTCCAGATTTGCAAATATTGTAGTGCTTAGAGTAAATATTTAACTTTGATCTTTCCTTTAATTTGTCTTTTTGGTCATAATGATGGCCCTCCTGTTTCTTCTGAAGAATGTCAAGTGTTTCTGGAGAAGTTCTGCTGTTTCATTTAGATGATGGGAGACCTGAACTTGCTTTTATTAATGTCAGGGTGATGGAATTGTCACTAGAGCTGGTTCATTTTAGAATCCAAGGAGCTTCATGGAGGGCAGTTTGTGTCTGGGTGAGTGCAGGATCAGCCTCCCCTGTGGCAGAAGCTGTCAGTGAACAGAATGCTTCATCCACCTCAGAGGAGATGCTTTTTTCTCTCTTGGAATGAATTTCCCTTCTGCTGACTGGCCCAGCTGGTAGAGGAGCAGTGGCTAAGCCAGGGCTGAGCCTGTGGGCTGAGCTCAGCTGATTCCTGGGTAAGATTTGGCCGAGTTCATGGTGGGTTTGAGCCTCCCTCGGGCTTTGTGCAGGGTGGAAAGCCCCAGCAGCCCCTGGCACAGCTTTGGGGACCCTGAGGAACCCCGGGAGTCACAGGCACCCTAAATGAGTGCTGTCTGTGCCCTCCCGTGCCCTTCACCCCAGGCAGGCCAGCCTGGCACCGGGGCTGTGCTGAGCCCGTGCTCAGCTCTGATAAGAGCCCTGACAGGCAGAGCCTGCAGGGAGAGCAGTGACTCTGGGCTCTGACATGTTCTAATCCTGGCTGCGTTCCTTTCAGCCCCTCTTATCAGCTGGAGCATTTTCAAATTTGCTTACTTTCCTAATCTTCCTCCCTCTCCCCTCTGCAGTGCTACTGCTATCAGGAGGTTTTCATCTCCATTTCTCACATTTCCCTACGCAAATTGAGTGTCCATTAAAATGCTTTAAATTAAGACCTTTCCTCCTTTCATGCAGAGTGCATCGTTGCCTTTTTTGTGCATTACTTAAAAAAAAATTCCTTATCACAGTGTTTCAGGCAGTTTACATTATATTCTATTAAAAATCCATTTTGTCCAAGGTTGTCACAATTCATAGATTAAAGCCTTCAAGAGTGTGTTTTGTTAGGAATACATTCATAAATTCACCTCTTTAGTAGTCCCATAAGCTTGTATTTAAAACCTCTTTTTTTGATAATGCAGTTGAACAAAGAGCATAAAAAGAAGAGATTTATTTTAAATATACACACACCAGTATATTTGCCCACATCTTTTCTCATCTGTGTGGAGCCTTGCTTTGCCCTTACTTTTGCTATCTCAAAGGAGGTTTTTGTCCCTCATTGAGTGAGGAGATTGGTTGTTGCCATCTGCACCTCTTCTCCCTCGAGCTCTCTCCTTGGGGCAGAGCTCTGAGAAAATCTCATTTTGGTGGGCATAGTTGAAGCAGCAATGTTTTGGTCCAAAAAGACACAGTTTATTCTTCAAGCACAAACAGTTCTGCTCTGTGCCTGCAGCTGGGACCCAGCACTTCCATTCCTTGGGGAAGGATCCGTGTGGATTTCTGCTCTGAGTGCAGGGGAGTGGTGGGCTTTGCTAAAATCAGCTGTTTCCAGCCCTCTGTGCAGAACAGCTGAGCTGCTGAAGGGCTGGGAGCTCACCCCGTGCTGAATTAGTCAAGAAACGCTTTTGAAATAGCCGAAATCTGGGAGTTTACCAGCCACGAGTCCTTGGTGGTTTCCTGCAAGCAGATCCCACTTTGTACAGACCATGCAGGTTTTTTCCACTGCATTTGTCAAAAGATGGATGGAGCCTTGCAGTTCCTGTGTCCTTTGCTCCTGAGAGTTCTCTGGAAGCATTTCAGAACATGCCACAAATTAGCCTGCAGTGGGACCAGGGCAAGAGGGCTTGAAAAAATGCCCTGAGAGCCTGGTCCATCCTGGCAAGCTGAGCTACCCCATAACTCAGGGCTGATATCCTGGGGAACAGGACTGCAGGAGCTTTGCCAGGGTGATTTAGCATTTTACAGGATTAGGTTATTTCAAATCAGTGCTGAGCAGGAGCTCAGTTTCCATGGTCTCATTGAAAGGCTCCAGAACAGAACATATTTCATGGTGCTCAATGTTCTCCTTGCTGCAAAGCTGAAGAGCAAATTCTGCATGTGACCCAGCCTGTGGCTCAGGACAGAGGAGGTGGCACCAGCACAAAACTTGGGCCAGAGAGTTTCAACAGCTCCGAAAGGGAATATTATACTGAGAGATGATTTCTCTTCCTCAGGAACAGCCATTAAATTGGATTGGATTATTACCAGGTAAGGAGAGTCTGATCCTTGACAAACTAGTATTTTAATCAGGAAGGTTATATTTATGCTAACTAGCAAAGTTAATCAAATTGATTTAACCTGCGGTCCTGAGTAGAGTGTTATTGAGACCAAACTGGTGCTTCTCACCTTGGGATTATTTTATCTTCCTGTCTTTAATACAGCCTCTGTCTCTCAGGATATCTGTCACTGCATAAATTAAACTTGCATGAGGGGCACTCAGTATGCAGAAGTAGAAGGAGTGAAATCTTCAGAAGGCTTTTTTTTTCAGGTGTCCTCAGAAGTATTTATTCTCTTACATGGAAGTTTATGTATTTTTTAAATTGATGCAGTCCAACTCTAACATTTTACATCCTCTGCCTTTAAACTTGAATGAAAAATTAAGATTCTCTTATGATCATTCAGTTTCTTTACTGTTTTAAGAGGTGTTTACAGAATTCAAATTATTAACTTATTTTATAAAACTGTAATTTTAATGTCGCTTTGAAACAGGAAAAGCAGTTATGTATTTATAGGCATGCAAAAGCATCCTCCTGTTTTAAAATAATTCACTTCTTTTCCTATGCTTGTGAATACCCTTTGAACCAGGAATATCAGCCAAAAGAAAGACGTAAAATTTGCTGCCAGTTAAGATTTGTGCATATATTTATTTAAATTAAATATGTGTTGCTGGCATGGATGATCAGCTGAGGAAAGATCATTTGGTTTTGTTTTCAAAGCTTTGGGTATGTCTTGAAAACGAAAGCTGGGG